GGCATTCCCCCGGAGGAGCTGGAGGAAGTGTCTGGAGAGAGGGAGGTCTGGGCATCTTTGCTTAGACTGCTGCTCCCGCGACCCGGCCCCGGATAAGCGGAAGAAAATGGATGGATGGATGGATGGATGAAAAAGTATTTATACAAACATGCATCAACAAACTAACCGGTTTGTGGATCCATTGTAGCAATAGTTGGGGAGGAAATCAAAGTTGAGCTCCCAGAAGACGTGAAGTGTGATTCGTCCATAGGGAGCAGAGACGTTGTGATTGGCCTCGCGGAACATGGCGTCAAAGCTGTCCAGAGTCATGTGCTTGGACAGGAGTCGGTGGGTTAGTCTGTTGATCTCCAGCAGCCACTCCAGTTCCTGTCCAGGAGAATTAGAGAACTGAACTGAACACAGAAAATCTAATGAGGCTGTGAAGGAGAAAGATCAGTGCTTTTAGAACGTGCAGCTAGTGTTGGAGTGTACCCCTAGCGAGTGACCTTACCACTATGGAAGTGAGGTCCTCGCTCTCAAAGCGGCTGATGGCATGGTCCAGAGACTTGTACATCGCTGCTGAGATCCTCTGGGTGATCAGACGGTTGAGGTCAATAGAGCGACCTAGCAGCTGCAAGACAAAGAGAATATCCTTACATAAGAGAAGTAGAACACATGTAAACCTAAACAAACCAGTAAGTCATTTTCAAACTGTCAAACAGCCTAAAATACAAACGGACAAGTGCTTTTGATTTTTGCAGTACCTGAACATGTCTCTGTTTAAGCAGGGTCTCGTAGCGGTTCGATGGTGGGTAAGGGATGATCACGCCATAGTTTTTACACTCTGCTCTGAAGCGCTTGTCTAGGAGAACACTGTGGAACAAAGGCCATTTGATTTATGTCTCTTAAGGTGATAGAGTGCAGAGACTGCTACATTATTGTATGTCACAACACAGCAAATATAGGCATAAGAAGCATGACACTTCTCCTACCTTCCAGCCATTGCTTTGTAGTAGGCAAATATCTGATCTGCTAACTTATAGACAAACTGGTCAAAGCAGAGGTTCACCTAAAACAAGAATACCTTTATGAAAATACTGTTTAAAGAGGAAGCACTGAGGTACAGATTGACAGATTTCACTTCTTAAAGACTATTTTAAGTGACATTACCTCTGCCTCGATTTCATCATAGAGGAACTGTTTCTTGAACTTTGTGAGAGCGTAGTAGCCGCTGTCATTATACAAGTCCAGAGGATACAGCACATATCTGGAGGAGGGGGAAATGCGGTTATAATACAGTCAAACAAGGTAGAAACACAATTTGAGCTTCAAAAAGGACGCTTTGTCTTACTCCATCATGGAGGGCTCCTTGGTCTCCAGGATGTGGTCGGTGAGGATCCAGGGCATGGACATCTCGATTGGGAACTGGATTCTGCGGCCCATGGTCAGCTCCAGGAAGAACTCTCTGAACCACAGCTGGGACAGGTCACAGCACTGCTGCAGGGCCTCTGGACAGCAGCAGGAAGCAGAAAGGGAAGGAATTTGTTTAAATATTGGAAGATCTACATGATCACAATTCATATGAAGACATCAGATCATTTTTATAAGTGTAGCTACAGTGCCATTATGGAAATTTTGTGTTACTACTGACCGCTAAAGTTGAGCAGGTGCGTGAAGAAGAAGGACTGTTTGTGGAAGTCTTCTATGGCCACCACTATGGGTCCATCCAGACTGCTGCGGAGAGTCTTCTTAGACCCACTCTTGTCTGCAATCAGTGATTCCAGCATAGTGCGCACCATGTACAGCTGCACAGGGAGGTAAAACAATTAAAAAATGTGTAAAATCTATTATTATCATAGGAGGGTTTAGGAGGCAGACCTACATATGGACCATTATAAATTTATTTTTAGGCTGAAAAGAAATACAACTCTATGATTTCTAACATTCTGTAAAATAAAACCCTGCTCTAAGAGGCCCAAGCAGTATCTCACTCTGCTATCACAATACCTGTCCAACGATGACTATCATTTGGCAAAATATTCATAATTTTGCAGTAGCGCATTAATATGTGCTGTGACAAAGGGCAAAGACTGAGATCGGTGTCTCATTCACTAAACATGGAGAGCGTGTAAACAAAAGTTATGTTGTGATATTGAAATTTTAACCAATTGAGAAAAATCACTGTTAAGGTGAGAATGTTTACATTGAAGAACTTTAACAGTGAGGGAAAGTGGCTACATACATTTAATCCAGTACTGGACTTTACAATACCATACTGTACAATTCTGAGATACATGTACTTGAACTGAATATTAATATTTTGTACTATTTCATACTGAAATTCTTGCTCAACTAAGGCCCCGAACATCCACACAAGTGTTTGCAGTTGTTGCAGCTGATTAGACTTGCTCAGGTTGGAGCTGTACAGATCTACACACAAGTGACACATTTGAGGAAAACCCAAAGTGACTTAGTAAGGTGTTGGGCCACCAGGCGCCACCAGAACAGCTCAGTCCTCCTGGGCGTTGATTCTACAATCCCAGGGTGTGTATGTGAAGTCACCAAAGAAGGGACATTCTGCTTAGAGAAGGACAAAGAAGTCTTGTCTGCGTTTCATAACTTACCTGTGTGCTCGAGGGTCCTACAGCCCTGCGGGGCACTTTGATGTCAAATCCACCTTTTGGGTCCTTCTCTCCCCTCAGACAGGGGTCATTAGGAGGCTCCCTCGCCCCCTCCCAGTCACAGACGGTCTTTCGAATGGCCTGGAGAACGCTACAAACAAAGCACAATTACACAAATGGTTTAGGCCACACACAGGAGCCATAAGATTAAGTTAAATTGTAGGTTTGATCAGGTCATCAGTGTACCTAATGAGGACGTTCTTCTTCTTGCGCACAGCCTGGCGCAGAGGCTCTCTGAGGGTCATTTGGGCAAAGTCCTGCAGCGCTGCGTAGATGGTGTTCCTGATGGCCTGGTTAAACACTGATTCCATTCGGCCCATCAGAACCTGCACAGCACCATCATCATCATCATCATTATCATCGATTTGGTCATAAGGGCTTCTGACTATCAACTCATTATTAAAGGAACGCTTGACATTTTGGAGAATACGCTCATTTGATTTCTTGCCAAGAGTTAGATGAAATAACCAAATCCGCTCTCATACTGTATCTATTCACAACATTTTGTTGAGACATTTAAAAATCTTCAGCTGTGAGTAACAATTTGTGTCTGACCTGGTTTATCAATAAAAATGAAAACTACTTAAAACTGTTTTCAATTATTTCACTAAATTGGTAAAAGTGAACTTTTAAAATGTCCTTTGAGCACAAGTTGCTAAGAATATAAGTGAGAGCTCCTCATATTTTAACCACCTCCACGCCTGCAAGTCACCGTTGTTTTACCTGCAGCCCTTTGATCATGGCGATGACCTCCACCAGGGCAAATTTCTCCTCACTGGTGTAATTGTAACGCGTGGCCCGTTCGTACTCCTCCGCTGTGCCTGGACAGTCCTTGTTACAGAATTTATCCGTGGGATGTACCAGCTTCCACGAGTACTGAGAGAGAGGCAAAGACAGCTATAAATAGATCAAAGCTACCACCATCAGTAGCAAAAACCACTGACGTTTCATACCTCAACCCACATATATTGACTACAAATGTTTTCCCTGCCCACACACAAACACAATCAACCCTTTGCTTCACTCACAACTTCCATGACGTGCGTGCTCCACTTGGACAGCAGCTGCAGACCCCTCAAAGCCAGGTCAAACAGCTCCCTGTACTCCTCGTCAGACTTCTGGCTGTCCAGGCCTGAGCCCGTCACCACTTCGCTGTTGCTGTAGCGCGCCAGCTCAGAAATGAAACGGATGTGGTCCTCCCTTATCTGCACCATCTGCTCACACAGGTTGTACTGCGGCGAGATGCTGCTCTGGGTGCACGTCCACCTGGGAACAGAATGGAGAAGATTAAGGATTTTTGTGCCGATGGCTTGGTGGTCAAAATGTCTGACTTTCCTTGTGGAAAGCATTTTGAATTATGTATAGAGACGGTCGGATGGCTTCTCTTACTTGGATTTGTTTTCTTCGTAGTGAGCGCTTGTCTCAATGTAACGTGACAGTTCTATCTGCATATCTCCAAAGAGCGGCACAACTTGAAGCTGAAAAACACAGGGATGTTCATGCACACAAATACATACTGTTCCTGTGTAAAAAAAAAAGATGCTGAGAAAGCAAAAGCCTTACTTTGAAGAACTTGTCAATTTTGCTCAGGTTGATCCTCTTTTTGGCATCTAGTTTGTAGATATTACTCACGTTCCCGTCCATCAGGTACAGACCAAAACCCATCACCTGACAAACAGAGGAAGAGGATTAGTTTGACTCTAACAAAGGACACTGATTTAGCTACAGATGAGACTGTTACGATGTCAAATGTGTGTACCTTAAGCAGCATGTGTTTCTCACTGGGTGTCAAATACATCTTGTTCTCATAATAGTCTACACAGATGTTGACGATGTCGGCCAAAAGTTCCTCGTAGCCAGGTATCACCTCCAACTGTTGGTGCAGGCACTACGCAGAGGCAGGGATAAGAGGGGAGCAGGTCACCTTCAGATGAATTCATTCATGTACACAGGAATGGCAGAAAGGGCTCATTCTATCTTTCACATTCAGTAAGTACACAATGCTATGTCACTTCCAACTCAAAACAATGTTTTCTCTTCAGCGGATCATTTTCATTGGGCTTCTGTGGTCATTCAAAATGATGAAACCATAAGGGACCTTGTGATTATCTGATATTTTGAATAATAAAGCGACATATTTGGACACAGAAAGACAATTCGCTGCCGCTATTCAGTGCCACATGGGTAATCCACCACAGCTGTGACAATCTCGTAATCTGACCCCGATATTTCAATGTGCAGGTTGAATACGATTCATGTTGTTCAGCGTGTTCAGCAG